ATATATATATATATATATATATATATATAGATTGCAATCAATCTTACTAATCAAATATTTCAAACTTTTGGATAGTACATATTCCCATTTTTTTAGCTATATGAACTCTATTATTTTAAAAATATAATGTTTAACTGATAAGTAACAGAGTTAATTATGAAAATAATATATATGTAAGTATATATATATATATATATATATATATATATAAGAATAATCATTTACTAAAAATAGTAGCAAAATTTTTTGAGAGCATTAATACATACATTTTTTGGAAACTTGTTAAATATATGCATTAATTGCTCCTATATACGCGTTCTCAAATAAGATCAAATCAAATGTGATAAAAAAATATTTTTTTCTTTAAATAATTCTATTAAAATCTGCAATAATTTTATTTATATCTATAATAATAAATTCCAACATTGATTTTCCGTGAGTCATGTTGATAATATTTTGGTCAAGATAAATATTACAATATATTTTATGTTCTAACTATACTATTATACTTTTCACAAATATTCACTTTTTAACTAAAAATACTTATAGAAAATCGTAACGGTTAGGTAGAATTTTTTCTTCCGATTAATCAAACGAAATCAAGTTAGCAAATTAATTTTTGCCAATATAATTTTTTCTTAAACTTTATTTCGTTATATATAAAAAAACGCATAATTACGAAAGACACTACAAAAAAACACTACAATTCCAATGAAAAATTCCAACGACAAAAATTTTCGTTGGAAATTCCAATGAATATTCCAACAAACTTAATTTTATGTTGGAATAAGTGTTGGATAGTTGAGGAATTCCAACGGATTTTTTCCGTTGGAGTAGCTATAAGAATTTATTTCCATAGGATTTTTTCCGTTGGATATTTGCTATTCCAACGGCCGTTTTTCCAACGGATTTTTATACGTAGGAATATCCGTTGGAATAGCTATTCTAACGGAAATATAAAAAATTCCAACGGAAAATTTCCGTTGGAATGTAAGAGTTTTTTTTATAGTGAGAGCCATCGTGCGTGGGTTTTGACTTCAAATTCATATAAGTTACCATTTAGTGGATAATTATCAGATGCATTAAATAGTTTTACTAATGATTAAAAATTAAAATTAAAAAATATTAACTGCTCAAGAATTTATATATATAATATTGACAACCATGATTATTTTTTTTTTATCATTCTTTTTATTTTGATTTCTTTCTATAATGAAATTCTTGTAAAACATATTTTATTGCAGAGTATGCTAAATAAACTATAAATCCTTATAGTGCAAATTATAAAAATCTTGATTATAGAAGGAATTGAGTTATTGGTATTTGTTAAATCAAACTTGTTTAATTAGTATACAAAATTATTCTAAAAAAAGTATGTGTATATTTTGTAAAATATTTGTACACTATTTAATTTTAAATTTATTTATATGTTTTAAATTAATTACGTTACATAAATAAATAATACTAACGTGAATTAAATATTTTTCATTACATAAAATAAAAGGAAAAATAAGAAGTACAACTTCTATTACTTTTATAAATATTAATAACATTATATGATAACAAATATATAATAAAATATAGTTAAGTATTATACGGTGAACAACAATAAGTAAAACTGTTATTTATTATATATATATATACTAAAATCAAATTTATATTTGTATAAATGTTTTAGTCGAGATAATATATTAATTATTTTAGAAGTTAGCCTTAACATACTCATATTTAATGTTCTGCTAAAAAACAACGCTAATTAAAAGAGGTGGAAAATAGATTATAACTTTGTTTTTCATAGACGTAACGTTAATTAAAAGATCCAGAAAATAGATAATAATTTTTAAACTTAAACGAGCAAAACCTGTGAAAATAACTTATTTAATATCTCTATCTCGTCGCACGGTTACGTACTAGTTTACATAAGATTTGTATGAAATATATTACCATGGCAATATTAGGTAAGGAAACAACTTTTTTACAACCAAAATCTCATTCAATTTTCATACACATATTCTTCCCATTATATACCCACTCCTACCTCATCATTAGCCATGACTTTGAAATGGAAAAAAAAAAAAAAAAAAATAGCAATTAATGACATTATATGTAGTTTCATGTGAGCTGGTTAATTAATAAATAGTCCTATTCAAGAATCACCACACCAACTTTACTTTTGTCCTTTTTTCATTGTAGACTAGTACGAATCCCGTGCGATGCACGGATAAGAAATACTAAATATTATTCATTAAATAATATTTATAAATAAAAAAATAGAATCAATATGTAATACAATTTACATATATTAATTTATTGAATATGTTATATAAAATTTAAATTGTGCAAAATTACATAAAACATGTCTACTTAAAATTAGTACACGACCCGTACGGTGCACGTAATGATAATAAATTACATTATATTTATTTTAAGATAAGTGTCATTTTAATATTTGTATTCACAAAATTGATTTAACTACAATGTGATTCTATAAAATAATTATTTTGGTAAAGTATCATATATATTCTTTTTCGATCGAGATGTATAGATCCTGTCATTATTGTATACCCTTTCGTATACATCGTGCAACCCTATTTGTCTTTTTTACCCTTTTTAGTAGCCACAGATACAATTCTCAACCAGCAAGGGCAAACATCTATATGAATTTAAACATATATGTGAATTTGATTTAAGTATAGTTGTAAAACTTCTACGTTTCATTAATTAAAATGAATTTATTTTTGTATAAGTTATCCAAATCATTTTTTTTTTTTTGTTTTAATTTAAGCAGTTGAGTAATTTATTAAACTGTAAATAATTGATTGCTTCATTTACGTCCAAGTTATTATTAACCTATAAGTTACAAATGATTACTTATTTGAGTTTTAAATTTGAAACTAAAATTAAGACTACACAATAAAAATTCTATTATATATATATATATATATATATATATATATATTATTTCGCAATTTTATACATTTTTCAGTTATTTTATCGTTCAAATTTATCAATTAATTATGTAGAACTAAATTACTAATTTAAAATTTTATTTGCCAATATTTATTCAAAATTCTTTCTAATTTGTAACAGGAATACATGCCAATTTGTCGAATTATTATTAATATATTATGGCAAGTTATTAACAATTAAATTGACATGACTTTTCAAAAGTTTTCAAAAAATTCAAACGTTTCGCTAAATGGTTGACAGGATTTTTGTAACCAAATTTACACGTTTGACCGAAAAAAATTAAAAAAAAAAAAATGAGTGATCAGACTTTTTAGAAGCAAGATTTTCAATAATATTTCTTATTATTGGTCAGATTTATCCGTTGTATTTAAGAAAATTATTGTCCATATTTTTAGGAATTAAGCTTTACACAATATCTTTCTCAAAATAACATTTTTTTTAAATTTAAATTCGAACTTTCATCGAGCAGCCATTTTCTAAAAAAAAAACACTAAAAATAGTAGTTTTAAAAAATTTAAGCGGGAATCTTAATGCCA